CGTAAAAAAAAAAAAAAAAGAACAGTTGTTTATGAGAATAGTTATTTTGAATTCCAGGAAAACGCTTTCTGTTTGGTACCATGTTTTGGAGACAGCCTCAATAAGTTTATATGTATAAGACGTAGTCATGACATGAATTCTTAAGAGCGATGCCCCATTTTTAGGTTATGTCCGTAGCAGTTCATAAATAGAGAAGTCAAACTGCGATATAGAAGTCTCTTCCTTATGAATGTTGGTATCAAGAAATATACCTGGCTTTCAAAGACGGCTTTCTTTCATTTAAAGATCTTCCTCGATCTTTAATCTTAACCATCCATACAATCAAAAAGGCTTATTCTTTATCATTATTATTATCCTTATAATTATTGATGAATAATGCTTATTTACAACTATTCTTCTAATTAAAAAAAAAAAAATCAATATTTCTTTCTATTTTTTTAAAGAATATATCTGCTCAAAAATTAAAATTTTTTAATTATTACAAATCTGTTACAGAAACATGGATAAATTATAAAAAATATCAAAGGAATATTTTATAGGTTATTTATAAAAAAAAAGATGTTAAAATAATTTTTTGAAAAATTAAATATTGTTAAACGAAGAATGACTTTTAAAACGTGATAATTTTGCTCAGTGATTAGAAAAATAATACATAATTGTTTATCAAGTAAACAGTAGTCTGATCAAGAGCTGATGTTAGTGAATTATCAATATTAACTAATATTGGACATTGCTTATGGAGTAAGTTGAACAAATTTCTAAAACTAATTTAAGAAGAATTTTGCGAAATATATTTGAATTATTATTAATTCTTACATAATTAAAAAACGAAATTCTATTTTCAAAATCCCATAAACAAATAAATCTCAAGAAATCAAAATTCCAAACAATGTAACAATATATAAAAAGATTTTATATAATTCTAATAATATTAAGATTTAAAACTTTTTTTTTCAGAAACAAAATTTTATTTTCAAAATCTTATGAATAAATAATAAATGAATAAATAATTTCAAAAATCAAAATTTCAAATCTGAAAAGAAAAAATAAAACTTTATAAAGCAATTTTACTTGCAACTTGCAAGTAATAACAAATACATGAAAAATATCCAAAAAGCTTTTTTGTATGATTTAATAGCATTATGGGACTGGAAACGTTCAAGATTACCAGAACCAGTTAATCTGAAAACCTGTACAAATATATATCCGACTAACAAGGGATGGGATTCTACCAATGAATATTACTTCTCCGATTATTAATTCCATTAATATATCTCAACCGTTTCGACCGTTATAATACCGTTAAAATTATACTAATAAATCGTCCTGATAATCCCGCCATTAACGTGTACCTCGCCTCGTTTTATCGACAGCGTTTGTCGTTTCGCGAGTCATTGTCGCGGAAAATATCCGCTCCGCCAGTCTGGTTGGATTGTTCACCCATTTACAGGGTAGAAATCTCGTATGATAGAAACCACTGTATTGTACTAAGTGCCATGAAGATAAATTTGTTCATTCGTCTTGTAAAAACATGTCCAATCATTGGAAAAAGCTTCTCAAAAGTGCGATGCATTTGATATCTCATATTTTACTTAATGGAAATAATTATTGTATTTAAGTATTTCAAAAAATGTTTATTATATTCTATGTTTGATATTTAATATAACTTAGATTATTTGAAACTTCTTTCTTAGAACTATCTATTCTTGTTTCTTGTAAGTGTTTTGAAAAAATTATAAGAACTATTAGAATGTATTAATGAAAATATAATTATATTTAAATTATATAAAAATGAATTAAAATAAATTAAAAAGAATTAATTTTAGATGAAATATGAACGTAGAAATAAAATGAGAAGATAAAAAATTCTGTCTATGCCTACATGAGCATTATATTCAAATCCTTGTTAAATTTTCACTTTACAAAGGAAAATATAGAATTTTCTTTCACTTTTATATTTCATTCACTATAATGAAATATTTTTTAAAACAGGAGATCAGAGAAATAATAGAAATAAAAAAAAAAATAATTTTTTTCACTTTTCAACATTTTATATATTATTACAAATTATATTCTAAATCAATCAATATTATATTGGATTGATCATCGATACTTATTTTATTCAAAATTCTTTTGCAGAAAAGTCGGTAAGATAAAATAAGTACATGCATGTATATGCATAATTTTATTCTTCAACTACTCCATAAATTCTTCCAAGTTTTTACATTAATCACTTATAAAATTAATATAAACCTTTTTTAAAGCTTAGCAAACTATATAAGAAGAGTAATTTAGTTTGCTTTATTACTAGCTTCTATATTGATAAAGTACAACTTTCTTTATTACATTAATTAGTTATTATATTAGTTTTTTTTTTTGCATCATGCATACATTAACCAAGATAGAAAATCAAAAAAATAAAAAAAAGAACAATATTTTTCATCTTTCATTGTGTTATATTTATATTTTTGAAATTTATTTAATATAAACAAAATAATATATTCAAAATCACATATAACCTCAATTCAAGTTTTTTATAAAATAGAATATTTAATATTATATTTATTTTTTTCAATTTATGTATTTTTGCACTTAATTAATCTAGATATTTTTAAATATTAGAGTTTTATCACAAATCATTGATCATTAATAAAAGATTTTTCTTTTTACTTTTTTATTTCTATACTATTTCTCATTTAGTTATACTAGCCAAATTTACTGAAATAATGAAAAAGTTATCAGGAGGCTGTTAATTGATCCCAGTGGGAGCAACCAATCAGAAAACGAAAGTTAAGTCGATCCCACCAATAGCGGTTCAAAGGTATGTTATCAGTTTTCCGTTAAAGAAAGAAGGGAAAAAACGTGATGGCAGGTTAATTAGAAAACACGAGTTTCGAGATTCGAAGAAAAATTCGATCTTTTCATGGTATACAATAAAAGTGTTAGAAATATTGTACGAAGTGAAACAATAATTTTCTTTTTTTGTGTGAGTTTATTAGTTATTTCAAGACTGAATTATATTCCTTTCGATCCTTAACCTTACTAAATAAGAGAGAAAGGGATTAGGAAATTGTGTGTATGCGTTTTTTCATCGATGAATCCATCAATTTTAATTAATCACGTTCACGGTTATTGCAGCTTCTACGAATTGGACAAGTTGGGACTATTGTTAGACTTTTGTTCTGTTCATTCAACGAACAATCGATAGAAAAAGTAAATGAGGTCGATTTCATGAATAATATTTTTCTGGATTCCTTTTCTCATTAACGGCAAATTTGATTCGAATATATAAATCATTATTGAATAGAGTCTTTCATAAATAAATATGAAATTTGAAGAAAAATTGTTTAACAGAGCAATTAGATCGATTTTATCAATGACTTCAAGAGGTTATGTATCGTGTTTACTTAATACTATCTATATTATGGTATTTTTTTTTCATTTTTTCTACTTGTGAATAATATTCTTTAGATGTTTCATTCGAAATAGTAATTTTTTTATTGTTTTTTATGAATTGTTTTCTTTAATGTAGAAAAATTTTCTTTGATGGAATTTCTTGACTTATTTTCTATTGAAATATAATTTTATATATAATATCAATATTTAATAGATTTAATGATTAATGATTTGAATATATGATATATAATGACAATTAGTGATTACAATGAGTATTCAATGATCTATTTGATTAATGATCGACTATTAAAATTCTCTGTCATATAATTATATACTATTTGAATCTGTTCTCGGATTTAATATCAATTAGTTTTAGTCGTCAACAGTTATTCACTTAATATAACATATATTCGTATACAGTAAATAGAACTTTAATTTAATTTTCAGTTACAAACTAACAATTAACAATTGATGATTAACAATTAAAATTTTTAATTATCGATTGATAATTAATAATATATAATATATTTTTCATTATTGACTGATAAATAATTTCATTAATTGATTAAATCAATTGTAAATTTTTATATTTTTAAATTTTTATTTATTTTTTTAAATTATAAGTTCTAATTATAT